CTCTTACTGCGAGTGACGGCCAAAGATCCTGTGCAGGAGTGCAACGAAGCCGAGCGCGGAGTGCGAATCATCTTCGAGTGCGCAGACGCCACGCAGCCAGATATCCGCGCGGACCTCATGTGGGTGGTCAGCGTCAGAGACAGCTTGGCCATCGCGCGACAGCGGCCTGACACGCTGTTGCGGGTGGTTGCAAAGCCTCATGTTCTGTTCGACACGGACGGCGAGCCTTCCTTGCGTCACTGGCAGGTGATCTTCCAGTTTCCGGCTGCGGACGGAGATATCGAGCCGTTTGCCCGCCGTCGGGCGTGGCAGCTTTCCTTGGACTCCCAGCCCAGCCTTGAGATCAAGCGTCTTCAGGAAGACGCCATGGCAATGACTCCGTTGACTAAGGTTGCCAGAGTAAAAGAGGCTTTGACCTCGCCCAGCTTTCGTGCTTGATGACGCGCGTGCCGTTTCGGGCCGCGCGTTCGTGTCGGCGCGTGCCGCGTCGGGCCGCGCGCTCGCGCGGACTGCTGCACCGCTGAAGCAGACGAAGAGAAAAGCCTAGCTTTTGCGCTTGACACGCGTGCCGTTTCGGGCCGCGTGCTCCAGCCCAGACTACAGCACGGCTTGGGCAGACGCAAAGAAAAGGCGCTCTCGGGGGGGAGGGAGGAGAGTTGAACTTGAAGCGCTCGTTGGGAGCTTTGGAAAGGGAAAGAGAAGAAAGAGAGAGAGAGAGAGAGAGAGAGAGAGAGAGAGAGAGAGAGAGAGAGAGAGAGAGAGAGAGAGAGAGAGAGAGAGAAAGAGACAGAGAAACAGAAAGAGAAAGAGAAAGAGAAAGAGAGAAAGAGAGAAAGAGAGAAAAAGAGAGAGAGAGAGAGAGAGAGAGCAAGGGGCCAAGGACAGTTCTCCAAACTATAGTTGTTCACTGCTTTGAAACTTCCGCCCCCCGGCTCTGCCGGACCTTACTTGTAAAATATCCTGAAGCTGGAACTCCGCCATTGTGCGCCATGCTCTACCGGGCAAATCCAGGGCAATGCCGGGCAATGCCGGGCAATGCCGGGTAACAGGAGAGAGAGAGAGAGAGAGAGATATATACATATATATTGGTGTGCTGGCTAAAGAATCACTACCCGGCCGAGTCAGCCAACACCAAGACACACCAAGACCCACTACAATACACCACAATACACTACATATCATAACATCACACTGCCAAGATACATCGATAACGTTCACCAACATTCCACCGATCTACACAGTGCCTTTCTCCTGCCTCAGCGACATCCCTTCAAATTGAAATCTCTGAGCCAGCGCTCAGTGTCCGCTCTGCCCGCTACCAATTGCTCCTGGGGACCTCTGACGGAGCATGGCAAGATCAAAGGATCGCAAAGGGATGCTGAATGATGCTGAATGAAGCCTGATGAATCCCAAAAGCAAGGAAATGGGATACACAGGGCAAGCGGGCACGACTTGAGGAGAAGGAGAGGCTGTGGATTGGCCTGGGGGAAGCCGATGAGTTGCCCTGCTTCATAGCACGAATAGTGGAGTGAGAAAAACATGCCAAATAGTGCATTGTCGTGCCATTGCCAGGGAAGCGTTGCTAAGAGTTTTTCACTCAGCATCTTCATATTTGTTTGAGTGAAAATGGCTTCTTTTGCTTGTCTGACTGTGCTGTCGTGGCTGCCTTTCGCACGCCCGTCGCCGGCGAGCGCAGCGCAAGCTGGACACAGCGACGTCGGCCGAGGGCTCAGGAGGGCAACTTGACTCCTTGACGCTGCGCGTGTTAGGAATGAAAGGCTTGCCTTGCATTGACACGAGTTGACAAGGCGTATCAAGGCGTGCTCTTTCAACACGCCGTCGCTGTTGTCAATTGCTGCTTGAGCTTCTTCACCGGCGGCTCAGTCTTTTGCACTGGCGGCTGGCAAGTCTGTCTCTTGCCCCCGTTCCTTCCGCCAATCGCGACCTCTGCCTGTCGCTTGACTCCCCATTGCAGATACCGGCGCTTGTCTGACCCGCATGATCCCACGCGACTCTCCGACACTTGCCAGCCCAGCCGTCACGCCTGCAAGCAGCAATGGCCTGAACAGGGCCCCGCAGTGTCCCATAGTGCCCCACAACCCTTTCATGCCTAATATGCCGCCCATGACCTCACACCCCGCAAAAACTGACTTGAATGGATTTGTGAGGGGGGCATCGTAGGTCGGGTAGGATATTGTAGGCATAGTGGCGCGAGGCGAAAAATGTGAACATGGGACGAGGTGTGAGGTGTGGCTCACCGGGGGGGGGGGAACCTCCGCGTTGGCTCGAGTCCTACAAGCCACTTTCCGACCCTTTCCGCGCCCTGAGCATATTGTCAATGTCCGTCATCAACTATGCAAAGACATTGCAAGCGGCCGTGACCAATCCGAAAAATGGATGAAGGATGATGAAAGCGGGATCATACAATATCATATTAGTCTCGTCTAACGCAACTTGATTTGGGTTGTCGCAGCAAACCTGCAGCAACTAGCGAAACCGGTGATCCGGCACCTCCGGGCAGTACCACATCTCGCCTTTTTGGCTGAGGTTGCAAGTGGCGAAAACTGGTGAGGGCAAACCGAATCAAACCATCAGATAGGAAGAGACTCTGGCCAGCAATTGCCAGCAAGCTGCCCGAGCCAGAAACGCAAAAAGCAAGTGACCGAATCCATGTACCTTTGACAACCTTTGCGCAGGATTTAGGGAGTTGAAACATCTTGGAACAGCCTTTGTGTAGCATAGAGTTGGGGTCGCTGTCCCGTACAGTGGATACAACGAGTGCTTTTGCACGATGAAGCTAATACAAGCGCATAAGAATGCAAAAAAGGTAAGCAATGCGGGGGGTGTTGTCCAACCCTTAAAACGGACATGGAATATGAGTGCGACATGGATGGACAGATGGATACTGGCTGGACAATGGAAGGCAACTGGAGGGAAATGAAGGGAAACTCACGGAAACGCAAAGAAATTGATGGACATGAATAGGCATCGAGGGAAATGAAGGAAATGAAAGGAAATGAAATGAAATGAAAGGAAACTTGGGGGAAATGAAGGGAGCTGCAGGGCGATGAAGGGAAACTGAACGAATGAAGGGAAGTGCAGGCAATTCGCGGGAACTAAAAAGAACTAAGAGAAAGGAAGGAAGTGAAGGGAAATGCGTGGAAACCTGGGAAACTGACGTGAAATACGGAAATGAGGCTGCAATCAAAGGACTGCGCATGAAAGGACACGAAGGGAACTGAAAGGACGTGCGCCCAGTGGCCGACTGGGGTCGCGTGAGGAAATCCGGCCAACTGGCCAAATTGGTCCGGAGGACCAAGGCTCTAGAGCGAAGCGGGCGATGCTGGGAATGGTGATGGGGTTTTCTGACGCGTGGTTTTGAGGTCCAAGCTGGTTTGTCCGGCAGCTGGCCCAGCTTCAAAGCGCTCCGCGTAAACGGCTCTTCGCGCGCGCGCAGGCGCGCAGAGCCACTTGCGCGGTGGAGCGTCTTGCAGCTCTTGCGGGTTGTTGTTGTTGTTGTTGTTGTTGATGTTGTTGTTGTTGTTGTTGTTGTTGTTGTTGTTGTTGCTGCTGCTGCTGCTGCTGCTGCTGCTATTGCTGCCTGTGCTCCTGCTGCTGCTGCTGGTGGTGGTGGTGTTGTTGTTCTTGCGACACGCGGGTCAGTTCCTTGCGCCGGGCGTAATTGCAAACGCGCCGCCTGCTTGGCGGCAATCAATATGAAGCTTGTCGCCGCGCTTCTGCTGCAGCTGGCAGAGGATGCTATGATGATAGTATCATCACTTTTTGCTATCACCATCACTATCATCAGTCATCATCTCTTTCCTTCCTTTTCCAAAAACATTTCAATTCCGCGTTGGACTATGATGGTCAGGCAAAGGGTGCTATGATGACAGTTGCGAACGTCACGATCATCACCATCATCCTTTTGCATCATCACGACTGTGACGCAGAGGATGCTACGATGATAGTTATCATCGTCATGATGGTGAACATCATCATAGTCACCATCATCATGGTCATGATCTCTGTCGAGGTTAGACATTGATGGTGATGAAAAGGATGTTACTGGTATCAACGAATCTTTTGCTACGGTGGGAGTTCTCATCATCATGTTGATGGTGCAAAGGGCGATAGTTAACATCATCATGATCATCTGAAGCGTGCTATTGTGAGAGTTGTCACCACCAGGGTAGCAACTGATTGAAATTATGACATCCAGGCGAGTTAAGGGACACTGAAGGAACATGAAAGAACAGGAAAGGAACGGAAGGAACTGATTGGAAATGAAGGGATGTCCTTGAAACATGCGGAAATGAAGGGAAACTGACAGGAAACACAGGGGGTTGCAAAAGATCACGCAAAAGAAGGAAGAAAATAAAAATAAAAAAACAACGTGAAGAGAAATGAAAAAAGAGGAGTGAGGTTGAAATCACGGGAACTAGAGAACCTTGCAAGTTAAAAGGCCTGCGGGAAATGAAGCGAAATGAAGGGAAATAAAGCGAACTACGATGAGATAAACTCGCCGAAGGGGAATTCAGTGGCCGGCTGTGTTGCGTCAGCGTGTAAGCCCGGCCTCGCCGCGCCACGTCGGCCAAGGCTTCGCCTTCCGACTGACGGTCGCTGCAGCCAACCCCTCGCATCGTCTGCCTAGCGCCTTTGGCGAGTTGGGGGAGGGCTCAAAACACTGCAGCAACCCGGCTGCATGGCCAGCATCTCTTGGAAGCCCCTGTGTTTCGCGAATCGCCTTTGTCCCTTGCGTCGCCCGCAAGTAGGGCAAACGAGCCTGCGCGCGCACGCCGCCCTCACGCACTTGCGCAACGCGCGGGCCACACGCGCACGACCAACCGACCAACCCACCAATCAACCATCCATCCATCAATCCGTCCGTCCATGCGTCTTCTCCGTCCGTCCATCCCGTCAAGCTAAACATCCACCCATCCATCCCATCCCATCCCTCCATCCCGTCCATCCCGCAGTTTGGTGATTCACAGCTGCCCGGCCTCCTGTTGAGGCGTTTGCCGGCTTTCCACCGAGAAGTATCTTCCCGATGCTCTTCATGCCTAGCCTGAGCTCAGCCCCTGATCCTGTCTTCTCTCTCTGTTTCCCTCTCCGCCCTCAAGCGCCTATTCAGGATGCTTGCCTCACTTGACTTCTAAAAGGGAAGCGGCGTGGTGCGCAGCTTGATGCTGCTCTTTGGTGCCGCGCAAAGCGGGTTCCTGGGCCGGCCCTTGATTGGCTAAGTGGCCGGACCCCTTGCCCAGCTTCCACCCCATCCCACAGCCGCCGCGGCCCTGTTATGCGAGGACATCGTGCGGAGCAAAAAAAGATTTACCAACCGAAAAAAAAGAAACCCAAGAAACTTCACCGGGTTGTTTAGGAGAAGCACCCTTTTGTCACGCCGCCCCCAAGAAACTTCACCGTTTTTTGAGAATATTCTCAAGGCAGCGTTTTTTGAGGCCGCGCCGGGATTGTGGAGAAACCCAATATTTTCGGCCAGGCGTTTCTAGAGAAACCCAACATTTTGAGGCCCATCCCAAGAAACATTGCTGGGTTGTTTTTGGAGACGCAGCCGTGATTTTCAGGCTGTTCCCAAGAAACTTCGCCCAATATTTCCTCGCCGTCCCCAAGAAACTTCACCAGGTGAATATTTCAGGCCGTCGCCACAGAAGCTTCACTGGGTTTGTTGGAGAAGCCCCAACAAACCACATCGTTTTTTCTGACCTCGCCACCCTCAAGAAACTTCACCGGATTTGCTCGAGAAACCCTATTTTTTCCAAGCCGCCTTCCAAGAAACTTCGTCGGGTTTCTTTTTGGCGAAACCCCATACTTCCAGGCCGTCCGCAAGTAAGGTCACCGTCCAAAAAAAATCGCAGGCTGTCCCCAACAGAAACTTCACACATATTGTCAGGCTGTCCCCAAGAAACTCCCCCGCTTCTTTTTTGGGGAGGCTATTTCCCAGGCCGTCCCTCAGACAGTCAAAAGACTTTTTAAGAGAACACAGCCCCCCCCCCCCCCCCGACCTTCAGGCCGTCCCCCGTTTCCAAACTGCACGAGATTTTGTTAAATCAAATAGTGTAAGAAGTAAATGACCAAATATGTTTGTAAGCAGCGCTTGGCTCCCAGTAGGAACAAAATGTAACAATACCACAAGTCAGCAAAGCGGTCTTGTTTTCTTCCTCTGTGAGAATTACAAGCTGCCAGGCCTTGAGCCAAATACATGGAAGGCGCTCCTACTGGAGTATCCACTCTCCTTCTCTCTCTCTCTCTCTCTCTCTTTCTCTCTCTCTTTCTCTCTCTCTCTCTCTCTCTCTATCTCTCTCTCTCTGTCTCTCTCTCTCTCTCTCTCTCTCTCTCTCTCTCGTTCTCTCTCTCTCTCTCTCGCGTTTCGTCGCTGCCTCGGATACGTTGCTGCTCTCATGCAAAAACATCGAGGTTTCCGAGGAAAGGATGGTGCCAGTCTGAACCTCTTTCAGAGGTTGGTCTTTTGTCTGGTAAGCCAACCCTCAAATGGTGCAGTGATGTCACCCGAATGACATGATGACGAATGACCATTTCCATATGGCATTTCTGTTTCTCCTCGCTCCGGATCTCCGGAATTTCTCACAATGAGCCTAGGCGTAGCCAGTATCTTTTCGAATACCAACTTGTGTACATATTCAATTTTGCTCGCCTCAGATTTTTGAACAGCTCTGTCAATGGTTAGAGCCCGTGCCAAAGGCGTGGTTGCTTTCAACCTGCCACAGTATAGATCGCAATGCGCTAACACTGCGCTATTGCGTATGTTTAGGCATATTGAGCCGAGCGATGCAATCGCTCTATGGCAGTATACTCATATGATTTAGTGATGCCATGAGTGGAAAGAAATTTGTCGTATTTGTTCCTCGCGCGTTCTGCGCTTGATTCACAGTGTTCCACCCATGATGCAACCAGCCATATCTGTCATCGGTGTATTTTTGTCGAAGATCTCGTATGCGGTTGGTCATGGCCCAGTGGGTAACATTGATTACCAAACAGTCCAGGACGTCAAAGAAGCGTCATGCTCAAGGCCAGAACCGTGTCTGAGCGAAGCTTCCAATATGGATGTCCTTGAAGCTGCAATTCACTGATAGTGACTCGAAGATGTTTCGTTGGATCGCTCTTGGCTCTTGGCTTTGTTGAACAATCTCACGATTCCTTCAACAGCGGCTTCACAGGGTGTCCCACGCTCTGAAGTTGACCCCGCAACATCCTCAGCTCCGCCTTCTCCTTTGAGGCACAGAGGATAGTTCTGGTCGCCCTCTTCAATGCCCCCACGACCTGTTCTGCCCGGCCGTTTTCTTTGTAGCTGTTGCCGGGCACCGTTGTTCTTTTGATGCCCCGCTCCTCTGCAAACTTCCGGATCGGTGCAGGCACCAGTTCACGCGCCCGCAACCTGGCGTACATTCGGGCTACAGCCGGCAGCATGTTCCTCGCCTTACGCTAGGTCCGGATCCTGAAGCTCACCGCTTCCTCCACCAGCATTTTCCACTTCTTCAAATCTCCTTCACCCTTTTCCTTCTCTTTTTCTTCTGCAACCACCTCTTCTTCTTCCTCTACTCTTCCATTGGTTCCAGTTCCCCGTCCACCTCCTCTAGAAGATCTCCTTTTGCAGGTAGTGGCCGCTCCTCCTCTTTGCGAACCAGTGATCTGCCCGTCGTGTCCACCGGGTATGTGTACACCCCGACCAAGAAGTAGGCCACCTTACCACGCTGGTCCAGGCCTTCTGCGAGAGATCCACCGCTAACGTGAACGCTTCTGGGCGCGTAATCCGCTTGGCGCGGTCTCCCCCGACCCTGCAATCCCGTCTCGCCGTCGTTGGCGACGTGCTCCTTCCACCGCTGCATCTCCTCAGCCCGCGAGGGCCTCATGTGCGGCTGCTTCAGGTGCTTCTTGATCGCACTATCAACCTTGACTGCTGGATCCACTCCTCCAATCCTCCTCCCCCGTGCCTGCACCAGTCATGCCATCCAAGTGGTCCAGTTACGGCACGTTCACTGCCAGCGCAGTTGGCGCTCTCTGGTCGCATCTGGTCAGGTTCACGCCGTAACCGCCAATCGCTGACATAGTAGTCCGGGTTGCCATCATCACCCGGTCCCGAGGCTGCTCTTTGTCGAACATCACCTTGTCCTCTGTGGATGCCTGCTTGGATGAGCGGCCTACTTGCTATGTAATTGGCGAACTTTAGCGACTTGCTAAGCCACTTGCAAGTTGCCTAACTTGAGTTAGTAAGTCCGCTAAGTCTGACTTGGCGGACTTACAACCTGGCTAAGTCCACTTGGCGAGTTCGAGGACCTCCTTAGCTAAGCCCTCTACCCCGCCAAGCGCACTTAGCCAGGTTGTAAGTCCGACTTAGCGCACTTACCAACTCAAGTTTGGCAACTTGCAAGTGGCTCAGCAAGTTGCTTAAGTTCGCCAACTACATAGAAAGTAGGCCGCCCATGCACACACCGCCGTTCCATGGCAGCGTGTCTCCATCCACCTCCACGCAGGGCACCCCCGGCTCATGATCCTCATTGCCGCCAGCCGCATCATGCGGTTCTCCTCCATGAGGTCCATCTCTGCAATGAGATGCAATGCGACCTTGCCCTCCACCTCCAGGCTTGTCGAACTCTGCAGTTGCCCTGTTTCCACTCCACCTCGCACCCGTCATGGTCAAGAAACTCCTTCCTTCAACCAGCGGTTCCTGCCGCCAAGATCACCTGCGTGGGCGCCACTTCTCAAGGTCCCTGCACTTGCGCAGCGCATGAGTTGCTCCTCCATCCAGCAGACCCTTGTTGATGACTGCTGCGTTGATTTCCTTAATCGCCACCATCGCTTTTGCGGTTGGGGCTCTCATCGATCGCAGCAGATGAGCCGCCTCCGCTAGCGACTCCCCCGTTCCTCCACCGGTAGTAGTCGCCAGCGCAGAGATAGCTTCCACCTCCGCTGCACTTGCTGTGGGTGCGCTCGAGTTTATCACATCCGCCAGACGACGACCAACCACCGCCACCTGCTCCACGAGCTCCTCCCCCCGAGCCGTCACTCGGCTCGTGAACTGCGGCCCTGACGCCGGGCTTTGCTGACTGGGCCTTTCTGTTACCCTTCACCGCGCAATCTCCTTTGACCGATCCAGCATCCGGCGTTCCACGATGGAGCTTCAGTCGTGCTTCCACTTGCACCCTTTTCCCCGGTCTCTTTTTTTACACGGACCTCCGCAGTCGACCTCTCAGCCGTCGCCTCCACGGCCATTGCCTTCACCCTGGCCGGCTCCACAATCATCAACCTCGCTGTGTCCGTCTCCGCAAGCAACAACTCCGAGTAGCTCCAAACGCCCTGCGCCGTAGGCGTGGTATCCAACCGCAACTGCGTCCGCACTTGCGCCACCCGAAAGACTTGCGGCCCTCCGCGGTTCACCAGCCGGCAACGAGGCTCCTTTTCACGCAAGGCTCCACTGACCGGCCCCAAAGTGAGCTTCCGAATCTGCCGGCTGGTGCGTAACCAACAGCCTGTACAAGACACTTGTAGAGCTGATGTCTCTGGACGAGATCAGTTCTTTTCTGATCTCCGCCGGTATCGCCCGGAGCAATAATCTCTGTTCCGTCCGAACGAACCGTGGTCAACCACCATTCCGAAGCACCCTGGGACAAGTCCTGCATCTGCGGAGCCACCAGCGCGAACCAATCCTGCAAGGATAATCATACGCCAGCTGCCACCTTTGCGCCGGCTCCCCCCCATCTCCACCTAGTCGATCGGCTTCGTCTCCACCTTCTGGTTCCACATGCCACCAGAATCCTGTCGCTGGTCTTCTCACCTTGCCTGCAGCTCAACCACGGCATTCTCCTGAAGCACCGGCTCACCCGCTACACCACCTGATGTCCATGTTCACTTCTGCCCTCTCGGAGGCGGTGTACTCGTCGGCCTCGATGTAGGCCTTGCCGGAGCCACCATCATCGCCATTGGTTCTCCTTGTCCACCAGCTCGGCTCTTTCGCGCTCTGCTTGTTCAGCCCGCGCTTTCCACACCCGCGTGCTCTCCTGCCAAATCCTCACCTCCCCTTCAACTCCTGGATGACCCCGAAGAGGTACTCCCGCTGTTTCTCAATTCCCATCAGCTTTTTGCACCCCCTTCCATAGTTCCGCTCCGTATCTTCGAGCAAGTCCATCTCGCCGACCAGCTCCTCCTCATCGTTGGGGCGTTGAGCTGTCTCAGGAACCCTTATGCTCATCATTCCAGGCCCAGTCCAAGTCCAGACCCATCTTCACTCCCTGCAGCTCTGGCTGGATCTCAACCTCCTCCACCCAATCATGGATTCCAGATCTCCTGACTGCCCTTTCCCAGGCATCTTCTTTTTCATGCTGCTCTTCGCCCTGCGCATCCGACCTTGCTGATGAGCCTGTCCCCAACGTAGTTCTTCGCCATCACTTGGCCTCGGCGCTGGCCTCTCTCATCGTTCTCCACCAGGCCGCAGGGCTCGTTGGTCTCCTTGCCCATCATATTCGCCGCCCGGATCAACCATATGAGGCCTCTCCATCGGCCCGCCGCGCATCATCCCACGCCTCTTCCAGGCATCCTCTTCTTGAAGTCCTGAATGACGCCCTCCTCCGTTGGCCATTTCCGCCACATCGGCGCCCTCCAGTTCCACGGTCAAGCCCTCGCTCCAGAACTCTTCCGAACTCGTTCTGCTTCGAGCAGCCTCAGAGTAAATACCAACTCCCTCGCGTTCTCGCTCAGGAAGATCTCCCTCAGGAGCGTCACCGGCACCTCCCCGAGCGTTCATCTCATTCTCGACCTCCGACGACTCACGGTGTCTGGGGCCGGCAGACCCTCAGGTCTCATGGCATTCAGCCCCGCCTGTTCCACCGCCCGTGAGCTCCATAAAGGGTTTACACGCACTCTTTGGCGCGCGGTGGCCCTTCTTCTTCTTGAGGTTCTACTTCACCTTCCATCTTGGCCACCATGATGCCCAAACCAGCATCCACGCTCCTTGCTCTTCTCCGCCTCATTCCAGCGTCCAGCAGTCCGCACTGCAAGGCTTAAGATTTCGTGGCATTTACGCCCTGAAGCGCAGATCGACTGCGCAGGCTCGTGCAACGGCGCTTCGAGATTTGGCCGGCGCTTTTCGGCTGCGCAGGCTCGCGCAAAAGTTCCCTTGTGAGATGTTCATGTGCATTTCGACTGCACAGGCTCGCGCTAAGTGGTGGGACGCAATTGGTGCTTTTTTCGAGGTGTTCTCTTGCTGTGGCACCTTGCGAGCTCCAAACAAAGGCTCATCCGTGAACCCTCTGCGGACTTTGGGTGCGGTGGTTGTGCGGTGCGAATTGTTTAGCATTGAAATCAACCCTCTGCGGACTTTCGGGGTCGGATCACTCTCGCGGCTGCGCGGTGCGAATTTTGAACCTCGAAAAGTGAACCCTCTGCGCACTCTGGGCGGGTTAGATCACTCTGGCTGCAGCGCATGTTGAACATCGAAAGTGAACCCTCTGCGATCGCCCTCGCTGTGGCACGGTGCAAATTTGGAGCACCGAACGTGAGGTCGGGGTGGGTGGGGTCGCTCTCGTTGTGGCGCGGACCTTCGAAGGGTCGGATCCCTGCGGCGCGCTGCAAAACTCGGACATCGAAAGCAAACCTTCTGCGGACTTTCGGCGGGTGGGATCACTCTCGCTGTTGCGCGGCGCGAATTTTGAATATCGAATGTGCGCTTTTTTGAACATCGAAAGTGAACCCTCTGCACCCTTTGGGCGGGCCGGATCGCCCTCACTGTGGCGCGGTGCGAATTTGGAACATTGAAAGTGGACCCTCTGCGCGCTTTGGGTCGGTGCGAGCGCTCTCGCTGTGGCACGCTGCGAATTTGGAGCACCGAGCGTGAACCCTCTGCAGACTTTGGGCGAGCCGGATCGCTCTCGCCGTGGCGCGGCGCGAAATTTGAACTTTAGGTGGGTGGGATTGCTCTCGTTGTGGCGCAGTGCAATTTCCGCGGACTTTCGCAGGGTCGCACCTCTGCGGCGCGCTGCAAAATTCGGACATCGAATGGGTTGGCCCGCTCTCGTTGTAGCGCAGTGTGAACTTTGAACATTGGAGGTGAACCCTCTGTGGACTCTGAGTGGCTTGGATTGCTCTCGCTGTGGCTCGGCGCTCCAAATTGACACCTAGTCCGAGGAACCTTGCGCACATCGTGCCACTGTCTTTGTGTTGTCTGGACATGTTTCGCTGCTCTGCGTCATCTTGGAACATGTCTGGCCGACTGCAGACTTTCTGAGGGGCTGGGTTCACGACACGGTGCCATGTTTCTTCTTGCAACATTCGCAATCGAACGTTAAGAAGCAAAATTTTGAGCTTCGGGTTTGACCGAACTCCTGCATCCTGGGCCATGGCGGTGGTGACCTTGGAGGCGTTGCTCAGCGTTCGGACGTTCGACAGGACCTCGGGCATCTCGGGTCATGCCTCTTGCGGGTGCGCAGGCATGCGCCTTCTTAGAAGGCTTACCTTCCAAGTAGGAGGGCTTGCGGGCAGCGTGCAAGAACGCAGGGGCTGCGAGGAAGCAAGGTGGCAAAGACTTGAAGACTGAGGGACCTAACATGCTGTTGAAAGCCAAGCTTTTGGCCGAGTTGCCGCCGGTTTGATTTCGGGCGTTGCTGAAACAAGATGCACGCCCAGAGGTGCGCCAAGACCTTGCAGAGTATGCCGAGGTCCTTGGCGCTGCGCGGGACGCAGCCAAGCGGAGAGCCGCGGGAGACATGCTGAGGCGAGTTGCCAGTGACTGGTAGCGCGGCGAGCTGGCGTGGGGAAAGATCGTTCTTTGCAAAGCCTGCGCTCAACACTGCGTGGCGCTTGCTTTTTTTCTCAAGGAATACGCGAGCCTGTCTCCAGCCGAAGGACAGCTGGCAGGGCCTTGCACGTCTCGTCTGTCGCAGGGCAACCGAGCACCTATTGTCGTGGAAGGTTTATCTTCCAGCGCGGGGCTGCTCCGTGTTACAGGCAGCGGCGTTTCGAGCTTTGCTATTACAGGTCGAGACTTCGCAGAGTATTGGGAGCAGAACGAGCAGTCTGCGGGGCGACTGCCAGCAAGACGCGAGTGGCAATCGTCGTGCAGTGACAAGCGGTGCGACATCTGACTTGCGGGGCGCCTGGGCAGGAGCAGAAGTTCTCACTGCTGGTTGAAGGGGTGCGGAGGCTACTATACTCTGCGGTTGCACAAATGTGCGCACGCCGAGTTTCACCCTGCAGCAGCACAGCGCATCGAGCAAAATGTCGCTTTGTGCTTCCGCAGCTTGCCCAACACCTAAGGGTCCATCCCCAAGAAACTTCACTGGTTCTTCTTCAGAAACCCCAGAGTCTCAGGCCTTCCCAAGAAACTTCACCACTTTTTTTTGGGGCACCGCGGTATTTTCAGCCCCTTCGACGAAACCCTTGGCCAGATTGCCTCGCCGGCCGCTCAGCGTGCCTCCCACACGCTCCCCTGGCCTTAGGCCTTTGAGCATGAGTGGCTAGCAGGTGGATTCCCTCAGACTTGTTCAAAGTTCCAGGAGTGTCAGCAGGTTGTTGATCCTTGACACAGGAAACCAGGCTAGGGTGTCGTGCCGCGCCATGTCCCAGTCGCAAGCAAAACAAGCACAGCTTCCATAGTGTGGCACTTGATGAAAGGGCGAGAACCATGGTCTATCCTGTCCTTAAACCAAACAAAAAATGCAAACATGTGTAGGCAATGAGAGCCGTTTGGGAGTCCATGTTGGTTCGCAGGGGCTTGCTTTTAGGCAAGCCGTCTGAATGAGGAGCAAAGCCATTCAAGCGCCAGGCTGCCTGCGCCAACGCCTGCAGCGTTGAGGGTCGTTTCACGCCGTTCACAAGGGTGAGAAGTTCACCAGGCTGAGGAATGCCTCTAGAAAGAAAGAAGCTTGTTGAAATCCGGCGAGAGAGGGGGAACTGCAAAAGCAGTGGTCAAGCCTAGCTTTACCAGCTATGAACTCTGCAATCTGGGATGCGAACAAAACAAGGAGCACCGCCTTATAGAGCGCACTATTGGGCCCAACACTTGTCGCGTCGGGCTAATGAGCCCGTTTGCGCGCAGAAAGCCAAAAACTTCCTCGTGATTCTCAGGCCAAGCCTTTGACACTTTGTTCTTCAAAACGCGTGCCTTTTGGCGGCGGACCCCCCTCCCCATCCTCCCGGATCTGACCCATAGTGGCCGTGGACGGCACAGACAGCCGCACCTGGCGCGAATGCACCATGCTAGAAGCACCCAAGGATGAAAAAAGTTTGATCTCTGCTTTCTTCAAAACACTTTGTCTTCAACCTGAGATCTAAAGGCACGATGTCTTTTAAGGCATTTGAAGGCATGAGACCCCCTCCGCCTCTGCACCGGCGATCGCGTGGCGAATCCGCAAGGCAACGACCTTGGGAGGCGTCGCCTTCTTCGACTCCTGGCCCGGAACAAGATACGAGAGCAGTGTCCCAAGCCAAAGGGAACCTTAACATGACTTCACACTCAGCTGCAAATTGACAGAAGGAAGCGCAAGAAGGGAGAAAGGAGAATCTGTTTTCTGAAAAATGGTTGCGCTTCTGGGGCTCCATGCGCTGGTCGCAGGTTCATGCTCTGTTGGTTCCGAGGGCAAGCAAACACCGTGCGCAGCGTGCGTCTCAAGGTCTTGCAAAAAGCAAAGCCCACAAACCATTGCCAAGCAGGTGCAAGCACACGCCCGACAGGATCATGCAAGTGTGCTGCGCCACCTAGTACACATGATGCGCTTGCGTCAACGTGACAAGCGATCACCTGCAGCAGTAACATCTTAAGCACAGGGTGGTGCAACACAACAGCTTGACCAGGTTGTGAGCTTGGCTTCGCAACCAAAGCCTGAAAAATTGCAAGCCAGCCCCGCCGCGGGCTTTGTTGCGATTGGCTGCTTCTGTCGTTGTGTTGCCATTGCAGCTGGGCACTGATGGGAGTGGCGTTGCTCCAACTATGCGACTCATCAAGGGTTTCTTGCAATCCCCTGGCCCATTCTCTCGCTCGGATGGCCGATAAAGCGAACCCTTCCATTGATCACTGGATAGATGTCCACAAACAAACCTACTGAGCACAAGGCTGGGCATCCTCGTTTCAGCAACCAAAGCCTGCCGAGTTTTGGTTTCTATTGCGGCGGCACTTGAAACATAACTACGGAGCGGGCTGACAAAATGGCCAACAGTGGACGCTGCACATTTTTCCTGAGGAGAGGGAGACACAACAGGGAGCAGCACAAACCGCGAAGTACGTGGAACTACATCTCTGAAGAAGCTCGGTGAACACAGCAAGGAGCTTTTCATAGGATGGATGTAGTGGATAATTGCAAACTAACGTCTGTGTGAAGCAAGCCATATTTGCGGCTTGCGACCGCAAAAAATCACGCACGAAACCCTAACTCAAGCTCAACTAGGGGAGGAAACCTTAAAACAAGAACTTGAGCATGCCAACGACAAAAGGCAGGTTGCTCCAACGACAACACAGCAACATACGTGTATTGACACCTTGCAAGTCATGCAACTTTGAGGGCGGCCCACCATTGCGAAAATGTGGAAACCACTTAAACTCGCATGAGCCCCCAAACCTTAATCAAGACTTGAACTGGTTGGAAACCTCCATTTGCTCGTTTGGGTAAAGGGTCCCCTGCTCGTTCGCTCGTCCCTTAAACGCAGCCACTGAAAACAATTCAAAGAGATCCCCGCTTTCCCACGCGCCGTGAAAGATCCCATCTTGGGTTGACCAGGGGGAGATGAGTCTGGGCGTCCTTGGTGTCCGCAAGCAGCAAAGAGCCTGGCTCAACACGGAGCAAGTCCTCCACCTGCATCGGCAAGCAGGAGTGAGTGCAAGAAACCAGCCGATTGGTTAGTCTTAAGAGAGCTGCTGGCCTCTTGACATGATCTCACATGGGTGGTGGGTACAAGTTTGCGGGCGGAGTGCGAGGGAAACCAACACAGCCTATTGCCAGTTTGAAGGCCCAAGCCTTCCTTGCTAGAACCAAAAAGAATAGGGCATGACACTAAGATGACACAAGCGAGGCTATAGCCATGCGCCATCTGGTCAGAAGACCCTCTTTGTAGAGCTGATTTACGAGATCGCAGCTGTTTCAGAAGAACTGCGCGGCTGCAGCATGTTTGGCAAGTCCCAAGAGAGGCAGCGGACAAGCCAGGGCTTGCGACCTGCCTGAAGCTGAGACGCAGTGAGGATGACAACACACTTTTCTGGTCCACAGGCGTTCAGCGCAACTTGCGCGGCGCAGCGCCTCGTCCGTCCACAGAAAAGCTTCGTGTCCAGGGAGGGCTTTTTTGTTTTCAGGACCCGGAGGAGCAGAGGTGGGGTGGCAGCCAGCCGCCGAACTGGCAGGTCGTTGTCGTCTCTCTTGGCGCCGTCCACCTCAGCAAGCGCTGCTGCCCAGCGCGGCCTCGCGGCCTCTGGCTGCTCAGCCTGACTGCCAAGAGAACTGACTGGGCCGGCGGCTTGTTCGCAACATCGTAGTGGCCTTTCTTGCCGGAATCTTGAAGATGCCTTTCTGCGTCTTGCCATCCACAAGAAGCTCCGTAATCTTGGGCGGGTCAAGAACACCATCCACTTTTTCATCCCAGTCATCCAACAATACAAACTGCTTCCTAGCCGCACGCCGCCAGCCTCTTTGGTCTTCAGGGTTGTCGCGGTGCTCTGTAACTGCCTCTTGTCACTGAGCTTGACACGGCCGGGGTCAAATCGTGTTGCCGGATCCAGTCTTGCGCTGCGGCCATGAAGCCGGCGCGCCCTGCCTCATGCGGCACTCTCTGTAAGAGTTATATTTGTGGCTGTACCCAGGCAAGCGAAAGACGTCGAGGCAGATGAGGCAGCAGCGACTTCTGGGCACGTTTGCGTTCGACTCCCGGCCTGTATTTTGCCCATGGGCGTTTTTCTTGGAAGCGGCAAGGAGGAGGCACCGTGCAACGGGTTTGCATCACCAGAAGCTGCCCCGCACAAAGTGCACTTGCACAGCTTGGAAAGGCGTCCCTGAAGGCAACCGCAATGGAGCCGGTCTCCAACAGAGCGCGCTCTCCCACCTGCGTCTGGGCTAAGCCTCACCGAAGCTTGGGCCCGCGGCAGGCACACTCTCAAACTCTTCAAAATGTGAATGGCATAACTGCACTTATTGGCCAAGCAATGCTGAGCAAACGTTAGGGAATCCTCCACAAACACTCGGGATTATTTGGTTTTGCCGAATGTTCATATTACACTAAGGTATTTATAGTTTTTTGCAAACTAGTGCTACGTAGAACAAAACAGAAAGGTAAGTGGAGAAAGGAGAAAGATTAGTAGAGAAACCGGAAAAGTAGAGACACCGGAAAGTTGTGTAGAGATAGAGAAACCAAAAGTTTTGTAGAGAAACCTGAAAGTTAAGTAGAGAAATAACAGCAATATTATTTTTGTAATGTTTATAAATTGAAATATTTGTGCATTGTCTTGTTTGGAGTTGTCTGGTCCTATTCATTTGCTCATTCTGGAACATTCGACTTTATCACCAATGGCTGGAACACGGTTGCTACAAGTCTGACGTCAGCCCTTTTTCCGCTCGGGCTGGCCGGCGCCTGACTGCCACGCGGGCGTCCATTTCCCCATTACATGGCGCAGTGAAAAATCTGGAGGCCACCAACTGTCAGCGATGGCTGCGCTGGCAATGGGCAGGTTAACCCGGCTAAAAGCCACCGCTTTAATCTCAAGATGCACTCCTGGCAATCCAAGGTGATGCGCTATAGGCGGTTGCCTTCTCGGTACGCAGGCCGCAGATCGTGCCTCCTTGTGGCGAAGGGTTTTCAGGGCATGGCCCTGGATCGCTTGCTGGGTTGCTTGCCACTGAAAAGCCGCGGCGGCGGGCTTGCCCCGTTGCGATCTGATGATGCCAGTCGAAACCCTGCGTGGCCCACTTGCACATGGCCCAGTGGCCATCCACAGATGTAACATGTTGTTGAATACAAAGAACGTGTACTTTTGTTCTTCTTGGTGCTCTGCTCTTCATTGTTTGTTTCGTTCGTCCATCACTTCTTTGATTCCTTTGTAATATTCTTTTGTTTGTTTAAAATGTCGTCTTTGTTGCTTTCAAAATATTGTTGTTTCTTTTCAAGTAGTTCTTCTTCATGTTCTTGATTGTATGTTCTGTTTCTTTCAAGTATTCTTTCTTTATTGTCTTGGTAGTATTCAGCGTCTGCTCTACATTCAATTTTCTTATTGAGTGTTCCCAGTTCCCTTATCCATATTCCTTCTTCTGCTCTAAGTTGTTCTACATTTTCACAACTACATTCTTTGATTAGTTCTATGAAAAAGTTATCCGTTCCTAATTCACCCATTAACCTATACAATGGGTAGTTCTTGGCCCTCGTAGTGTGTGTATTACCTCTATGTTTTGCAACTCTTTTACGTAATGGTTGTGTTGCGCTACCGGCATACATGTCCTTCGTGATGGTGTTTCTGCTCAATATATTCTACTATTATTATCATTT